CCTCATCTCGTTTACATCTCTCGCTCCTCTATGCTTTTTCCCCACTTTTCTCACTTGGTCCAGGAGTCTCTCGGGGCTGTTGAGGTTGAATGTCATTATGTTGGCTGCATGGTAACCATACCTGTTAAGTTACCCCTCCTCACTCCCAGGACGCCGATGCAGTTTCACCCAGAAATGTGTCATTTTAAACAGCCGTCTTTCCCCCACTAATCCTAAAACAATCGGTTTTAAACTGCCTCTGCTTCTCTCTATTCATCACCAGTAGTTTTGATCGTATTCACACAGCATCCATTTTGAACATCTTTGTCTGTCAAAAGCTACAAATATCAGGAATTTAAATATCTGTTGTAAAAGATTTTCAATTAATCAAAATTTCTAAAGAGAATTGGCCATCTTTTTTGTTGGTGTGGGCATTTTTGCCTTTTAATTGACAGTTGATGCAACAAAGGTGCCTGGCCAGAATTAAACTGGGGGTTTAGCCAGATTATCCAAAGCCCCTTTTTTGTATAGTACCATAATGTACCGTAAACTACAGCACTACAGTATGGTATAATCTAAGTTTAACTAGGGAGTCAGTCTGTAGACTGTTCTGGATGTTTATGAAGGACAGTTAGGGTGATCACTTTCCACTTTGCTTTTGTTTTCTATTTAAAATAAGTTTGACTGACCTGGCAATTTGTTTAAAACCTGTCTGATGATCTCACTGCTTGTGTCTGTTAACCTGGTGGACTTCATGTCAGCGATGCTGCTGCATTCTGAGATCTCAGCAATTAACTTGGTGAGTACATTATTGTCACTGGTGACCAAAACTATTGAAACATGACCCAAAAACCATCTGAAAACTTTCCTTAAGTACACCATGCGTTATTTACCGTCACCAAATGCTTTCGGCTGTCAATTCGGTGATCGGTCATCTGACTTATGTAGGTACATCAGCATTGATACTCTACAAAACGATAGTATCATCATGATTCTTTTATATATTATATGTTTAATGTGAAATATATGTTTATTACAACTATCTTCTCAGAATATTCCTCAGCAAATACAATCTTTCAAGACAATTCTACCAGCTCACGCTGGTTTGCACCCTCAAAGTTAAAAATAAGACCCAAGTCATCATTAACCAAAATCATCTTTTCAATGCAATTAAATCCTGCTACTACGATAACACAAACACACGCACAAAACAAGAAAGAAAGACTGTGTAGTGCTGCTACATGTGAGCCTTGCATTTCAAACATTGGTTATTTTCAGCACTGAAAGTGAAACAGTTCCTTCGTATGAATTATTTTACTCCCTACATTTTTACAGTTCTCTGGTGTTACTATACCCTGGATCCCAGTAACACCGCTCTTCTTATTAATGTAACTGACTCCCAGTACGATCGTTCTGATCTCGTGTCTGCTCTGTGGCTCTTGTCAAAGCGTCCGAACTAATTCTTCCCTCCAATTAAACCGAGAGCTCAGAGCTGTTTGGGCTGAAGCGGTCAATTAATTGATGCTTCCATTGTGATGAACCTACTTTCATGTTGTGCACTCTTCATGTCCATTGAGTATTAGGCACTGAAACCCCTATCAGACCAATGACACAGACACAGAAACATGAACCACCGAATCTATTAATTGTAATTACTGACCAGTAGATAATCAGAAATAGTTTTTTTTCCAAATCTTTTTCTAATCTCTTGTCTAATATCCGTGTAATGAATCTACTTGGCTCCAAAGGGCCCACGCTACATGTCAAACTGTCCGACACCTCCGGTATGCTAATGAAGATCCACTGATGTAGAATGAAGTTGACACATAGAGCCATTGTGTCTAACTCGACATTCATGCTTCATAGTCAACATACTTTTTTTTTTTTTTTACAAACTTCTTCTGAGGCTCTTGACTCCCCGAATCAACAATGTTGCACATAATTTAAACAGACAAACCATAATTTGTCTCTCGATTTCCCCACTTTTGCTCCAGGTGGAGGCCCAAACCCAAATCCTCTAAACCAGGCCAAAATGGGTGCATTGCGTAACTCTCCCTAACACAGTTAGTCCCGAGGTTATGTTCAAAGACCTCGATTGCATAATGACTGGACGACCGTGAGAGCAGCCCCTCCCAACGGCCAGTATGATCCCACACAGGTTGACAGATCAGGCTGACCAGGATAAAGTGAATTAAAAATCAAATTAAATGAAATGATGTATCCCACAAACACATCAAATCACATCAAATCAAAGCAGGTAGTGCAAGTGTAATCAGAGCGTTTCTGCTGACAACTTCTGCCTGCTGTGACTATTCAATTCAAATTGTATTTGTATCGCCCAATATCACAAATCAGAGGGCTTTACAATCTGTACATCACATGACATCCTCTGTCCTCGGACCCTCTCATTGAGAAAAACAAAAGTGTGTCGATGAGAGCTGTGAGAGTGAACGTAAACCATGAAGTCGTGGGCCGTAAAACCAAAACAACTATAGCTGAGAGACACTAAAATGCTCCAAAGACCTGAGGGGAATTGCATGAGTCAGATGACTTTTTTCATCTACTTTTCACACTACACATAGTAAATTCATCCGTAGCACTGCTACTTGAAGGCAGTCTCACAGAGGTATTGATTAAACTCTGTAATGCTTTGAAGCTTTTATTGTTCTGGAGCTGTTCATTGTAAGTTGTTGATGGTATTCCTCCTCCTAACAGTCACATCACAAACTGTCACAACAGATAGGGGACTGTAATTACTGAATGATATTCGGAGAATGGATCAATCATTTAGTTTGCGAGCTCAAAGGGACTGTGTTCCGTCTGTACTATTTGCACGCCCTCCTCTGCAACTTACTCTCTTGTCTTTCAAACAAACAGGTGTAGAACAAAACACTCCTGCTATTCTCTCGGCGCCCCCCCCCCCTCCCCCTCCCCCCCACCCCAC